AAAGTCAGATTTTTTTTGAAAAAAATGAATTTTGAGAAAAATACAGATTTTTGAGAAAAAGTCAACATTTTGAGAAAAAGTCTGCATTTTGAGAAAAAGTGCATTTTTAGATTTTGAGAAAAATACCAACAAATTCTTTTTTTAGTTTTGACTACTTCCATTCTTGAGAGGGTCATAAACACATGGATCCTGAGATTGAAGCTCAAGCCGGTGACGAGAGATATTTTTCTAACACAAACCAAGTCCATCCGACTCACCTTGATTGGCCCAACGCTGAACTGGATCTTCCGATTGGCCGGCGGAGGCTCCTCCTCCTCAGGAAGTCCCTGGATCTCTGAGCAGCTGCTCTCCTTCTGATAATCCTCCTCTTCCTCCTCTTCCTCCTCATCTTCCTCGTCCTCCTCATCGTCCAGCTGACTTCCCCCAGAGTCCTCCTCTCCGATCCCACTGTACGCACTGATATCCACCAAATCCCCCTCGGAGTAATCCTCCTTCCTCGAGCCATCCTCATCCTCTTCCTCTTCCTCTCCTCTTCTGTCAGAGTCCTTTCCTCGTTCCTCCGGGGAAGAGGAAGAGGAACCAGGAGGATCTTTTTCTCCATTTTCCAAAGAGGCATGAACGTCGGCCTGAACCAGCCTGGATCCTTCCTGCTCGTCAGTTTTTGGATCCTGACCCGGAGGAGTCATTGTACTCGAACCCCGAGCTTCAGTCGCTATCGGCTGGACTTCCAACTCCCCTTTGACCTCTGAAGAAGACGAGGAGGAGGAGGGGGAGGAAGAGGAGGAGGAAGAGCAAGTAGGCTTTTTTTCTCCTGACTGTCCAAACCCTTCCTTGTCTTCGCCGGATATCAATTCAGTTGAGCTGTTTTGTAGACAGTCTGCCGCCAATTCTGGTAGTTTTGCTGCCTTGGTGCTCGTTTCTCCTTCTGTCGCCTCCTTCTGGTTCTCCTTACTGGGAGGTGGCACCTTCGTCTGAAAGAGAATCAGAATCAGAGTGTCATCAGCATAATAACGTTTCAAAATGAATGCATATAGAAAAACAAAAAGTGCAGGACCCAAATATGAGCCCTGGGGAACACCGCATTTAATTGTTTAGCTCTAAGATTATTTTTCCTTCACATAAACCACAAACTCTACCAGATTAACCCAATTAGGCACACTCTTCTTACCTTCCTTCCGGTCGCCTCCCCTCTCGCTGGAGGTGGTTTGGGTTTTGGCGGTAAAACAGGACCTGGCCGACGTTGGGCGACATTGTTCTGCGGGGGGTCGGTCTTCTCGGTCTTCTCTGTCTTCTCTGTCTTCTCGGTCTTCTCGGTCTTCTCTGTCTTCTCTGTCTTCTCGAACTTGGCGCTGAGCTGACTAACGGTCGGACTGACGGCATCCCCGACTGAAGCTGAAGCAACGGAAAGAACGTCAGGAGCAGGGATAGAATCAGGGATAGAATCAGGAATAGGAGCTGGAATAGGAGGTGGAGCAGGAAGTGGAGCTGGGGGGTCGTCCAGCCGGTCCAAAGCCTCCGTGGATCCGTTGAATCGAGCCACAACATCCAGGCGGCTGTCCTGGAAGCCCGATGCTCGCTCCTTCTTCAGCAAGATCCGGTTTGTGGCAGCTTGCTTCTCCTGGGAGGAAAGAAAACCAGAAGCATTAGCCTCCCAAAGTCACATTTCAGACTTGATCCGACTGTGGCGGCTCAATTTCCAGTTCAGTTTGAGACGCCGAGAGGCTAAGCTTGGCTATGAGCTGCGACGCGTTTTCAATGAGAAAGTCCATACTGAAGTAAGATGGTTTGACGATATTTAATAAACAAAATCTAAACATAATAACTATAGGGACAAAGACGGCAACACAAGCTCACCCTCTGTCATCCGCACTCCACATGAAACAGGTGACCTATATACACAAACCACACCCATGTGACAATTACCGGAAGTGCTCAACAAATACAAATAAAAGTGACGTAAACAAATAATAGTAATACAAATAATGAACTCAGGCTAAGTAGCATTTGGCACCTACACTGACCATTGAAGTATTATCATATCATATTGTTTCGTATCGTATCAAACCAAGATTGGAAGGTTTTAAGATTCAACAGTTTTATGGTCATATGCACTTAGTGTAGAAATGGCTCCAATAGGATCTCTCCATGTTCGCCTAACCTTAACCTCAGACCGATCAAAGCAGGATCGTAACGGGAAAATATGGATCCTAGGCCTGATTACAAACTGTCCACACAGTGTTTTCACAATAACTTTTACCGGCACACATACATGTAAATATATTTAATATGTATAAATATAACTTTATATAATTGAATCTTTAATTGTATTAATCTTTAATCTTGTGTGAATCTGTGCTGTCCTGTTTTCAATCTCACCCTGTTGCTGTTTAAACTACTGAATTTCCCCACGGGGATTAATAAATGTCCATCT